CAGTCAGAGTGCTATTTATCTGGCTAAGAACCAGGTGTACCATGCGAGAACCAAGCACATTGATGTCAGGTATAACAAGATCAGAGAATTAATTGTCTCTGGGGAGATACTGTTGCAGAAGATTCATACTGATGAGAATGCAGCTGAGATGTTGACCAAGCCCGTTACTATCAACAAGTTCTTGCATTGCTTGGACTTATTGAATGCCTGCAGTTGCTAGAGAAGCATGGTGACCCAACCGACTTCTGGTATGAAAAGAACTCCATGACGTATTTCTCCTAAGGGGCTGAATATTCGCCAAAGTAGAAATTTGTTAGATATGACTCATATACCATAAATGGACGATGCTAAATCAGGAGCGGAGCAGAGCGGAAGATTCTGTCCAAATCATGGGAGTTTCCTTATGTGGGTTGGGGGTGTGGTACAAGGGTAATTTGGTCCAAGGTTTCCTTTTTATATACTTTCTAGGGTTATAAATTAGGCTTGTATGTAACCCTAGAGATTATCCCTAAATTCTGTATTCTGTACTTTTTTTGAATTAGTGAAAAGCCGCCGCTGTGCTCCCGAGGACGTAGACATCTTTGCCGAACCTCGTTAAATCTCGTTGTGTTCTTCTGGATTTGTGCCGTTTTTGTTTTTCTTCGCCTTAATTTCTCAACACTTACTTATTTACATATCTAACACCTAAACTTTACTTTTTTTTTTTACATCTATACCACCCAAATCTACATTTATACCACCCAAATCTTTCGAATCACATAAAAATATCATAATCTTAACTTCTAAAAAGTGAAATACACATTTCCATGCACAAGTAAGATGGCATATATATGCAAAAAAATTGAAGCTTACATGTTAGATATATAACTTCATAGGAATTAATTGCTATGTATGCAAATCCTCCTAAATATTTACTTTTCCTGTTTGTAGGAAGCAGCCAACAATGTATGCAAGAGAAAAGACTTGAAGATCAGGGACAGAAATTTGCGCGTCTGCCATGCTAAACCGGACGCCATTCCATCCGAAGTTGAAGAACCCCCAAGCAAAGATTTTCCAAATGGGAGGCCTTTGCCAGCTTCTAGTTCTGCACCTTCAGCAAGAGACAATAAACAAAAGAGAGCAGATACTTCTTCCGCTTCGTATGAAGGCCTCCGCTCAAGCAAAACTGGCGTTGTGAAGAAATCCTCTTTTCGGCCATACCAGAGCAATAGCACAACTGGCAGTGGTTCCAAGAGTTCTAGTTGGAATGAGCAGCAGGAACACAAAAGGAAGCGGCCTGCTGTTGCTGCTAGGAAAGCGAAGCAGCTTCAAAAACGGAAGCAGTCCGGCGGCACACCGGAAAGTAGCCGACAAAATAAGAAGGTGAGAAGGCAATAGGGAGGGTTTCTGAGAGCACTGCAGGCTGTAGGACGTTTGTAGTTCTTTCTAGAGCTAGCATCATGCATCTGTTTCTTTGGAGCATTCTTAGGTTCATAATTGGAAGATTTACATATATACCACCACTCAATTTCTACATGTTTAGATATCTAACACCCCAACCTTCAATTTTTGCATATATGCCACCTTGCATATAATGAAGGTGTGTATTTTCCTTTTCTAATGATAAAATAGTGGTGTTTTTGATGTGATATGATATATTTGTCTAAATGTAAAAAACACTTCATAGATAATTTTAAGCTCGATAGCATGAATCATTTTTTCTTAATGCTATTAAGTATTTGTCTAAATGTAAAAACATTCATAGATAATTTTAAGATCGATAGTATGAATCATTTTTTCTTAATGCTATTAAGTATTTGTGATATTCTGGTAAGTCTTGCTCATTTTAGCTTTTATATAAGAAGTGAATTTTTTTTTAATCAACCAAATGAAGTTAGAAAAAAATATCTTTCAAATTTTCCCAATTGTAATGTCTAATATATTCTTAAAGCTTCATGCCGACTCAAGTATGCTCACCACGTTTGTCTAGGATAGCAGGGATGTGATAGCTCGAGACAAATAATTAGGTTTTTTAAAAAGAACTGCATTTCTATGACTGAAAGATAGCCCACAAGGCCTTGCCATATACAAAATCATATAATCTAAAATGGTTGAACTATTCATCATTTAAATTCATCTCAAATGACTATTTTCAACCTTGGAATGCATGATATTCATCAACTAAGAATGTTTTATCTGCAAAAATGTGAAGTAGTTGATTATGAAGAGTTTGCTATTGATTCCACAAATTTAAGAAAACCTCTCCCTTCAGAGAATTTTTTTTTTGAAAAATATAGTAATTTGCCTCCTAAAAATACTCCTTTTATTATTATTATTATTATATATATCTCTCTCTCTCTCTCTCTCTCTCTCTCTCTCTCTTTGTGTGCATGTGTGTGAGCGTGCTCTTAATTGAAAAAAATGCTCTTAATTGAAGAAATGGAAGAGTTGGAACAATATACTCGATGGTTAGGGGAGCCGAGAGTGCATGGATGATAAAAGTATAAAGGTATAATTCTTGCCAAGTTGTTGTTATGAGAATAGCACGATGCATATAAAACGTATTTTCCCTTGTTTTAATTAAAATTAGGGAACTAAGACTTACATTATTATGGACATCAACTCGTTGAAATTAAATAAAGAGTCTCTTAAACCATAATTTTTGTTAACATTTTGGTGTGCACACCCAATTTACCTAAATTAGATATATGAAGTCAAAATTTAGTTTTTAAAGTCACAAGTTGTCATCAATTAAGAGACACGCAGACCCATCAAGTGCCAAATCAGTTAAATAAATATGAGTGGAGCTCAGCTTGAAATTGTTATAATTTGAATTAAAACCCACTTTAGTGAATTGAATCAATCTACATGAGAAAAAAAAAAAAAAAGAACAGCTCACTATTTCGTGTGACTCAAAGGATCGAATTCATCTTGTTAAATGAACTAATCCAGTCACCACCCCCTTCAATTGTGCAAATACACCATAAAGTTACTGAATCAATATGACATTATTTGCTTTTTTTTGGGTTGGTATTTATCATGCCAATTTTATACGATGTGGTCGGCCAGCTGATGCCGGAGTGACTGAGCGATTGACGGGTGACTGAAGTGAGGCTGCTGATTGATTAACGGATGACTCAAGTAAAGTGAGACGGCAAGCTGATTGATGCTTGGGTGGTTGAGCGACTGGTAGACGACTGAAGTGAGGTGGCCGACCGAATGAGGCCGGTCGAAGGGAGTATTTTTCTTTTGCGTGAGATCTTCTATCAAGCCGAATACTTAGTGTTATTTTTTGGCTATACACAAGCCTGTTGAGTTTTTTACTTTTTAAAGGAAAAACTGCGACAAAAATAAAAAACTCATTAGTATGGAAAAAGTTATTTCATAAGCCTTTAACTAGACTTAGTTTTTGAAGAGTCCTTTGAAGATTAGAAGTTTTAGAAGTTTAGCGATCTAGTTATTAGATCTTTTAGATATTCTGATGAATCAATTTTTGAGGTCATTTATTCGCTCGTCTCGGAGGAGAGGATTTGTTTGCTCGTACCACAGGAGAGTTTTTGTTTGCTCTTCTCGGAGGAGAGTCTTTGTTTGAGAGGAGAGACTATGCTGGCTCGTCAAAGAGGAGATGTTTTGTTTTAAGATAAGGGGAGAGAGTTTGTTTTACACATGAAGGAAAGTTTGTCCTTTTTGCTTTTCTTTTTTTTTATTTTCTCTTTTTTAATGGAAAACAAATGAAGAGAGAGCCTGCTTATCTTTTTTGGTCTTTAACTTCTGCCTTTTGTCTTTTTTCCTTATCTCTTTGCTTTTTTGCTAATTTGCTTCTCTTCTTCTTCTTTTTCCTTCTTTTTTTGCTTCTTTGTTTTAAGATTTCTCCCTCTTGGTGTGCTCGTCTTCTTGTGATCGGCTTGTCTGCGCTCAATGCACCTTTTAGGATATTGAACCCAATTTTATTCTTAGACTTGCTATCAAGTGAGAAAGAAATGAAATGAAATTGAAAGAGAGATGGTTGCCCCGGGGGGTGGGGGAGTTTGAGGTGTGTGGGGTGGCCATATAGGGATGTTTTTGAGTTCTTCGGCTCCTTCTAATTCCACACCAATAGTTGGTTACAAAAGAAGAGAAAGGGGGAGAGATCTCCATACATGAGAGCTGAGAGAATGCTTAGGAGTGAACTTAGGGAAGGCCCCCCTTTATATACTATTGATTCTCATATTTATAGGAGGGGAAAAAGGGAAAATTTATAAAAATGCCCTTACTCGAAGGAAGGCAATATATCCTTATTTCGAGATTTGTTACTGATTGGACACATTGTCATGCCTTGGTTATATAACTTTATTCTTATTCTCTTTTATAACTTGTTGCGAATATGGAAACCGGTCCATTACTCAAATTGACATTTTCTCATGTTTGACAGTAAATTAGATTTGATACTTGAAATTAATTACAAAATTAATTGCTCTTAATCCCTTCTATGATTTGCTACAGATGTGAAAATGAAATAATTAATGAGTTTCATTAATTATTTGATTAATTGCTTAATGGGTCTAATGGCTTTCAAAAATTAATAAATAAACATGCTAGCTCCACTTGTAATCTCTCTTGGGATTTGGTTTCCCAGGCTTCCTCTTTGACATTGGTAGCTTTTCAGGTTCTTCTTTTGGTATGCTTTGTTTTAAGCTCTTGGGTAGAGAGAGAGAGAGAGAGGAGAGGATGGAAAGAGAGAGAGATAGATTGCTCTTTCTTGTAATCGTCGAGGCGATCGACGGGTGTAATGCTCGAAGTAATAAAATCCTTTACAGCTCCGCGGATGTAGGCAATTTGTCGAACCACGTAAATCTGTGTTTTTCGTTGTTTTTTGTTTTGTGATTTTTCTTGATTCAGTTTTTCCCTTTATTGCCGTCATTTTTTCACAGCAACTTGTATCAGAGCTTAGGTTTGGATTTGACAGAAAGTGATATTCGGAGATGATGTGATGACATCGGGGATCGAGAAGTTTAATAATACAGATTTTGATTACTGAATGATGCAGATAGAAAACTACATCTATGAGAAGAAACTTCATCTTTTGTTACTAGGAAATCGATTAGAAAAGATGGATTCTATGTCAGAGAATCAAACTTTGGAGATGACAGAACTTCCACTAGGGAAGAAGACATTAGACAACAAGTATGTGTACCGGGTAAAGACTGTGTTTGATGACAGTAAGAGATACAAGACTATACTTGTTGAAAAGGACTTTCAGCATAGGCATGATATTGACCATGTAGTGGGAGATGTAAGCAGATACATGAGAAACCAGAAAAGAGCTTGGAGGTACAAGACTATGTTGACGTTGATAGGTCAACTAAGGGTATTACTCTTGATAAATTAAAGTTGTGCTCGACTTCAGTTGGTTTTCTAGTCTGAAGACATGAGGCTTTGAATTACAGAGGTGGAGGATATCACGTTTGAAGAAAAGAACAACACAACTAGTGCACCAGTCTCCAAGTGGGAGATTTGTTGCAAATATGAAAACTGATCCACTGCTCAAATTGACATTTTCTCATGTTTGACAGCAAATTGGATTTGATACTGGAAATTAATTGCAAAATTAATTGCTCTTAATTCCTTCTATTTTGCTGCAGATGAGAAAAGAAAAGAATTACTGGTCTTCATTATTTATTTAATTAATTCCTTAATGGACCTACTGACATGATTGAATTAATAAATATGCATGCTAGCTCCCCTTGTAATCTCTCTCGGGATTTGGTTTCCCAGGCTTCATCATCAACATTAGTAGCTTTTCAGGTTCTTCTCTGGTGTGCTCGGTTTGAATCTCTTGGGTATAGAGAGAGAATGAGAGGAGGGAAAAGAAAAGAGAGAGAAGAAGAGAGAGCAATGAAATGAGAGAATCCTCTTGTAAGTCGAGGTGATCACGAAGGGTGTAATCCTCGAGTAATAAAATCCTCTGCAACTCCGTGGCCGTAGGTAGTTTGCCAAACCATGTAAATCTGTGTGTTTCCCCTGTGTTTTATGTTTTGCGAATTTTTCTCGATCCGATTTTTTGTTTTATTGACATCATTTTTCACAACATAACTCTATCTATATACATTGATTTTATGTTTATAATATACATAAAATCAATGAATATCATATGCATAGTAAAGAACTCCCGGTATTAAGGAATAGAAAGTCATGTAGTATATATGTAAATTCCTTTAAAGTTTAATAGCTGCACGAAACATGATTGTCTGGCTTTGAGGATGACCGATAGATTAAAAAAAAGGCTGATCGTCTTAGGGTCGGTCGAGGGATGCTCGTCGAAGGAGAGATGGTCGGCCAAATGATGTCGGGAGCTTGAAAAAAGATTTCCAGCCGAATGAGGCCGGCTGATGCCAATAGTTGTCAGGGGAGGAATCCGGTTGTAGAGATGCCGACGACTGAAATAAGAGATGACCGATTGAATGAGGCTAGTTGGCTGATGTTTGGGTGACTAAGCGATTTTTGGGCGACTGAATTGAGGTGGCTGATTGATTGATGAGCAGCTGAAATAAAGTGAGATGGTTGGCCGAATTAGGC